CATACAACATAAAGTGATAGTCATATTGGCACATTATAAAGACTAACTATCGATCTATAGGCTAAGATTAAAATATTTATAATTTATGTAAAACCGAGTGAGAAATTAATACTTATATCGGACTAAGTCTGAAAAAGCGGCGAAAACTGGGTGTTTTACCCTATGGAACTTTTCAAATTTAATTATTAAAACTTAAGTAGAGATGTGATTTTTTTTTGCTTGTGGGTTTTATTATTTTATATTTGTTGTTGAAATCACAGCGTTCTCTACTACAGGCCTGTTGATCGCGCAACCGGATTTTTTTCCGGAGGTCTACTTTTTTACGGCAAAAAAATTATTTCTCGACGTTCAGAACAGATACAATGTCATGCCATTTATGATATATATTTAAATAATGGAATATAATACAATGTTAATAAAATTATATAAATTAAAGCGAATAATATATTCATAAAATTTATATTAAATTACTAAATAAATGTTGTGTGTATGCTTGTCAGACCAACTATCAAATTGAAAAAAACAAAATATCTAGTGAAGTTAATAAAATATCAGTGTATCGGTTTCTAACCCAGTTAGCACGCTAACATTGGGCCAACGTATATTATTAGCAAAGGACATTTTCATTTTTAGGTACATTATTTTTTATTATTATTTAAAGTATAAAAAAGAAATTTTAAACTTCCCAGACTTAGTATTGATATAAAAGAAATATTTCTAAAACAGTTGTTGTCTAGAAATAGTAAAAATAGTCGACACAGTCGCTATTCAATATTGACAATTATGACAATTTTACATCGTTTGAACATCAAATATTGCATCGTTATTAATTCTTAGAAGGTCCTTTTCACAAGACACCAGCATGAATGATTGTAAACTTGACTGGCTCATCAAGTTTCTTTATCTTTTCAAAATATATTTCAACTTCAAAATGACCTTTCACAAGCAACTTGTGATGAGGATGCCAACATAAATTTGTAAGCCAGAAACAAATTTAAATACGCAAAACTATGCAAGTTGAAATTCTGGAGAAAAAAGCATTTATTTTTGTGGCTGTTGCTGTTCCACTTCTGTGGTTGTAAAGAAAGTTTCAAATTCTATGAATATAGATTGTTGGAAGTTGTTCGAGACAGAGCCAGATACTTCCGTGTCAAATACCAAACTATGTTCATCTTTAAGATTTTTCAAAACACTCCCATTTCCTTGCAAACTCCAATAATTTTGTTTGCAGCTGATCTTTTGTTGCACTAGCATCAAACTTTCTGAGCAAACCACTCAGGTGCTGCAATGCGTCACGAGACATTTTTTTCAAAATTTCTTGGATTTAAGCAAGATAAATAAGCATATAGACTACCATGCTCTGAGAATCTCTGTTTTAAACTACTGATTACTTAATCCAATACCATATTGTGAACATTGTCTCAAAATTTATTTTTCTCACTTTTCAGTAGTTGGTTTGCTCTTATTTTTTTTATTTCTTTTTCAAACCAGTCTGAAATTCAATGTCAAGATTCTTTTTTCCCATTTCACTGTTTCCAAGTTCTGACAAATTTGTAGCTGCTTGAAAAATAGAATCAAAATTTCTATCTACTTTGCTTATTTCATTAATACTGTCTTGAACCTCTTATAGGCTCTTACTATATCCATTCTAGGTTGTTTGCAAAATATTCAGATAACGGCATAGTGTACTTTTAGAAAAAATTTTGCCTTCAAAAGTAAATTCAAAACTTGTCAATGAATCTAAAAAGAGCTTTCGCTTTGTAACGGACATCATTATTGAATTTGATTGATGTAAAAATATCATGAAATGTTTGTAACATGTCAATTTAAAAAAAATCAATAAATTTTGTTTCTTGATCGGAGGTTTCGATGAAGAAATTTTCGAATACCTTAGTAAGAGATCTGTATTTTGCCCATCAACGGATTTCAACGATCACAGATATATACTTTAATTTGCTAAACTCATGCCAAACATTTAAACATAAATATGATTCCCGTAAAAATACTGAACATGTGTTCAAAACACCAATTAAGGTAACAACTTCAACCGCTTTTTTAGTAACGTCACCCATTACCAAATTTATAACATGGGCATAACACTAAACATGAATCTGACCCGGGGAAACTGTATTTAACCAGGTATTGAATCCATTGTATTTACCTTGCATATTAGAGGCTCCATCGGTGGCGTTGCCAATACATTTACTTACATCAACCTACCTTTTCAAAAATGCCACAAACCAAATAACACATTCCTTTTCCAGTAGCTGATGTGTAATTGACAATCGATATAACACTTTCATGTACAGCATCGTTCACATATCGGATCACAATAGAACACTGATCCTGTACATTAATATCTTGTTTGGTATCAATTTGAACAGCTATATAAAATTATATTGTAAAATAAACAGTTTAACATTTGTTAACTAATTTGGTTTGTTTACGTTAATATAAAACTAATTTCGGTCAGCTAAAGATGGCCGCCAAAATTTATATAGTTAGCCGACAGATGTATTAGCTTGTAATTATATGTAATTATAGTCCAGAAAAAAAGTTATGATGTCTTTAATTACATTTTAGTTTACCGTTGATTATAATAAACTTTATTTTTGGTTTTCATTTTTGGTGTTTTTCAATCAAACTACAATCAAAAGGCAATTTTCCTCTAGATTCCAAAAAGTTTATTACAAATCATAGCCATACATAACTTCTGATGCCTTTTGTGACTACTACAACAATTTTTTCCACCAACGGGAAATAAAATGTAGCCAAACTAAAAATTTAATAACATTTTTGAGAGCAACCGACCCTCCGGGAATCTACCGGTATCCCGGCGGCCCAGTCCAAGCCTGTCTACGTTTATATATTTCTACAGTAATGCCGAAAAAAGAACTTGTTAAATTTTTGAAAATATATCATGCAATTTTATGCACCAGTATGATTTCATATTAAATTATATTGCTTGACAATAGATGGCGCTCGAAATTTAATGACTCAATTAATAAGAAATGCAGTTATTGATGTAAAGTATAAGGAGATAATTGAGCAAGTTTTAAAACAAAACTCATGTTATGGCAATACTGAAAATATTCTATTGGCAATAGTAAATGATGAAAGAAAAGAAGTTAGAACTGCAGCCATTCAAAGGATACTTTAGTCCAGAAATACTAACGAACACAATAGACATTTTAAACTTCCAACAGCACTAAATCTTGGAGCTAATGATTACAGTGATTTGGTAAATTGGGACTTTGGGAAAGTTAATTTACCACATTTACTGAATGTCTTTTCAAATTAAGATATTTCGAATATTGTTACATTCATTCCAAAATATTCTTGTGATAGTCAATATATGGAAAAAATTATTGTAATAGTCACAAAAGGCACCAGAAGTTATATATGGCTATGATTTGTAATAAACTTTTTGGAATCTAGAGGAAAAGTGCCTTTTGATTGTAGTTTGATTGAAAAACATCAAAAATGAAAACCAAAAATGAAGTTTGATTGGAAAGCAAAACGGAAATTTGAATAAAGATACAAACAAAAATAGTTGTATATATATTTTTTATAGCATCAAAAATTTTTTCAAATTTGAAAGTTCATGTTGGTGCTTATCTTTAAAATGAAATCATATTGCTGCTTATATTAAAGTAAGCGTTTTCAAAATTATATGCTTTTTTTAAAACAGTATATTATTAGAAAATTTATATTGTATTATTAAATCGCAAAGTTAATGGTATAAAACACAATTAAGATAAAAATTGCTAACCATAAAGCCATTTTTCTCTAAAATACAATAAAATCTGATTTTGTGTCCGGCCCCTACGGAGTCTAGCACAGACCTCTGTTATACTATATTATACTTTTTTATATGTAAGAGCTTTGTACAATATGCTGCTCTTAAAAAAAATTTGACCTGCCATACTAAACATACTGATTTGTCGGACGACACATTGCAATTAAACACTGAACTCTCTTTCTGCTAGCACAAAGTTTAC